TGCGTGTCTAACAAAAGCCATTCAGGACAGATTTCGCGGACTACGTGAGGCTTACAGTCCTCTGAAAAGGGTACTCCGTGATGGAGATCGAAGGTGGTACGGGTAACTTGCTTAGTGCAGCTTTCGAGGACAATGAGCAGTTTTTTGATCTCGAAGACAGCCAACTGCCGCATGCCCCGATAGATTTAACCGGGGACCAAGATTGGGACGAGGAGTTTACACCAGCAGTGGCGGGCGAAGTGTTCGTGGATGCTCCACAAGAATTTCCAGCCTCGAGCCATCCTGTCGGAGTCGAGGGAAATGTGGCTGAGGGCGCAAATCCGAGGGGCGAAAGGTGTTCGGGGGTGCGGATTAACCTTGGAGATGATGACGACAACGAGCACAGGGCGGCGTCGGAGGAGAGTTGGGAGGAAAATGCTAGCCGCAGTCCAACCTCTGAAGATAACACTACCAGTCGAATACTTTTTGGGGAGGCAGCCCGAGGCAATTCCCATGGCCCAGAATCACAGGCATCACCAATTGGAAATGCACATGGGCTCGAATCGCAGGCTGCGCCCCAGAGAAATGAAGAGGGGCAAGAACCACAGGCTGCGCCCCAGGGAAATGACGAGGGGCAAGAATCACAGGCTAACCCTCAGAGAAATACAGATGTGCCAGCTACGCATGAGTCAGTACGGAAACAGGCCGACGTGGACAGCAGGATCCGCCGCGTAAAGATCCCTATCGATTATCTCGCGCCGAGAACCAGGAAAGATTACATCCTGTATTGGCAGCACTACAAGTGCTGGGTCATTCTGTTCATGCAAACGCTGCCCAAGGCTGAGGTTCTGGAGGAGAAGCGTCTAAGGACACAAGACGAGGTTGGAAGCCATTTGGGGGACGACAGAAAGGCGGAGTGGTCAGCTGTGAAAACCGAGGAAATTCATCTCCACGGGCCCCGTGTTTCTGGATGGAGGATTCAGAGATTCCTGCAGTACATGGCCGACGAAACCCCGCAGCAGGCCGAAACGATGCAGAGAGGCGAAGAAGTGGTGGCTGGGAATGAGCCCGTCCCTAGTACGTTGAGCATGATGAAGGCAAAGATGAGCGCTTTGGGCTTCCTGGGCAGACTTGAAGCTCGAATCTAGGGCTACCCGAAGTCCAAAGCGGATGACTACATCCGCGAAGCACGGGAGTACATGAAGCTCAAGCTGAAACAGCTGCACGACAAGCAGGTTGCGTGAGTATTAACACACCCTTTCGCTAAACAGACATCTCGAAATTTCCTGGATGTCTGCAGAGAGGGCAAAGATCAGCACCGAAACTCGCTGGACAATTGCTACACGGCAGAGAAGTACACGGAGCTGCACGAAATTCACCTTCCGAGAGAAAGCAAATCGTTCTTCCGGAGAGCCGGGCGCGTGATATCACAAAGTCTGTGGCGGTCTTTTGCGGTGCAGGTGATGACTCAACTCGTACACCAAATGTTGGGGAGGGGATGCAGCATTCGTGCACTTCGATTCGCCAACATGTTTGTCCGCAAGACGCAAAGCAGCACGACCGTCCCCGAAGGTCAAAAGGATCTTCCTGTTGTGGTGTTCGCTTCTCGAAAATCGAAGACGAATTCGACCAATCTAACCCACCAATTCTTGTCCCGGCACATCAACTTCATGCTCTGCGGTTTGGGTGGCCTTTTCTTGTGGATTCATTTCATCTACGACCTCGTGCCGCTGCGCTTTGGCGCGGAATTTGTTCCGCCCCTGGACTTCAGCGACCCACTCCAGTGGACAAAGAAGCACATCTTTTTTCAGATTGAGCAGGCGCAGAAATGGGAGGAGTCAATTGCAGGAAGAGCTTCCGTACGTTACTCACAACGACTGGATCTATTAGGTCATGAAAGAAGCGGTTGAACCACCCTGGAAGTTGAGCAAAAAGACCCACGCGTTTCGACAGTCCGGAGCTCAAGGGGAGACCGGGCGATCGCTGTCCCGACGATCACTGTCCCGACGATCGTCGGGATCGCTGTCGATAGTTGAGTGACGATCGCTGTCCCGACCCCGACATCAACGCCCTTGGAGGCTGGGAGCAGGGCGAAATGTGAAAATCCTATGTGGTGGGAATACCGTTTTGGCTAGTGTTGATGATGGCTGGATTCAGTGGGGAACTGGGTGATTACTACATTGGCAGATCGCACGCCATCCTTGACAACCCAACAGAGTGGAAAGAGTTGAAGGCGCTTTTCAAGAAGTACATTTTACCTCGCCTCGAAGCTGATTTGGCAAAGGTATCTCTCGTTAGTCTAGCTTTCACGCGCTTATTCTAATCTTGTATCGCGGGGCAGAGTTCAATATTCTATTTGTCCTAACATCTCAGGTCGACGAGTACAACATAACCAAAACTTCGAGTCAGATGCACCACTCTGGCAGAAGTTTTTTGGAGGCTCTTGAAGACCCTGGGCGAGACATCGTGGCACAGGACCTTGCCATGTGGTGGTTATACTGTCCCGATCACGACAAGAATTTTGACAGCACACAACGGCCATGCAAGTGCCAGCGCCACTTGTACACGGAAATGAATCCGCTCTGCCAGCACCCACTGTTTCAGAAGTGGGCCATCAAAGTGGCAATCATGCACAAGGCTGGCATTGAACTTCGTGAAGCCAGGGGCACCTCTGCAGCCGCTGTAGGTGCAATTTTTCTCTGGTCGGCATTACTATTTCGACATGTCTTGTGCTTGTCTGAAAACACTCGTCCGTTTTTGTGGAGGATGCGATCTACAAGTTGAACACATCGCGAAAGTACCAGAAGCTCCTCGGAGAGAACAACTTTTACCGGGCAGAATTTGGTCAGATGCAGCACGAGATTGGCGAGCTGAAGAACAAGGTCGCTGAAGACGACGAGAGTCTGATGAAGATGGCAGCTGTAATCGAGCAGCTCAAAAAGGAGAACGCTGCTCTGAAGGAACATGCGAGGAGCAACGCTGACGGACAGGCTGCCGATCGAGGGACGGGCTCGTCGACAAAGGTGGAAGCCGGTGGCGATGCTCCGAAGCCTGGAAAGCCAACAGCCACCACTCCAGTGAAGGTTTTTTTAGACCTTGTCGTTAAGCCCTGGCGGGACTCGAAGAATGTAGCGGAGGCATGGGAACTCTGGATGAAGGAGACCTTTTTGATGAACGGAAAGACTCTACGACAGCTTGCTTCCGAAGATGGTTTCTACTCGACCTTCTCGTATTGCGAGACGGGTGTGAAGGACGAAACCGGCGACAAAAGGATGAAGCGGATGAAGAACATGATGCTCACCGTCGAGAAGTACAGGGCTGATAAATCAAAGGAGGCGACACAGGCCGCCATTGCCCTGATCCAAAAGAAGATTGTTGATCGGAGTTCAATCAGCGCTCTAGCGGATGGTGTGATTCTCGGAAAGGAGCCACCTGCGAAGAGGCCACGGACCGACACGGAAGACACCGTATCAAACTTATATGCTATAGTCTGTTTAGGCTGTAGTGGGGTAGTTCTTATAGGGTACAACACTTTTAGGTTTGCTACTTGTACCCAACAGCTTTCTAGTTCAATCATTCATTCGTTCAGATTCTAACATGGTATTCTGAGCAGGTTCCCTAGTGGGAACGTTTTTCAAGGGCCCACCCAATTTTTTTTTTCCTGCCCGAAGCGCGCATCGCGCCTTGCCCGAAGCGTGCCTTGCGCCCTGCCCTAGTCTGGCCCATCGCGGCCCTGCCCCGTTCGCCGCCCGTCGCGGCCCCTTTGCCGCCCGTCACGGCCCCTGCTGCAGTCGCGACCCCTACTGCTCTCGCGGCCCCACCTGTCGTCGCGGCCCTAACTGCCGTCACGGCCCCTACTGCCTGTCGCGGCCCCTACTGCCGTCGTGACCCCACCTGCTGTCGCGCCCCCTACTGCCAACGCAGCCCCTCCTGCTGTCGCGGCCCTCGCCCGTCGCAGCCCCTGCCTCGCGGGGGGGGTATATGCTATAGTATGTTTAGGCTGTAGTGGGGTAATTCTTATAGGGTACAACACTTTTAGGTTTGCTACTTGTACCCAACTGCTTTCTAGTTCAATCATTCATTCGTTCAGATTCTAACACACCGAGACACCTAAGAAGAACACGATGGATGCCAAGCGCCACAAGATCGGCTACCTAATGTTCGCAGCCAAGACGGAGAACGACGCGTGGGGAACGAAGATGTTTGGAGATGCTTGGACGAACATCAAGATTGTGGAGCCACAAAAGCTGGCTAAATTGAAGAAGTAGTTTGAGTGGCTGATTCTTTCTGTTTCTCCCATCTTCTATTTTTACCGCTGTAAGTCTGTTTGTCGTGCCGATCGTCCTTCGTTAGAGCTGTTTTCTCTTGACCTCTCTCTCTTGACTTTATGTTGACTTTGATCCTTGTTTTCCAACTTGTCATACTTTTCTCTAGATTCTGATCCCCCTTTCTCTAGATTTTAGAGTTGGAAATCACAGGGCGCTATATTTACAGAGCAACAATCTGCCTTGGAAAACCAACGGTTTAAACAAACAACATTGCACAGCTCTAGCAAACGGAATTGCACTCGAGCCACGCTGTGTCGCTTTATGCAAAAGCGTTCTATCGATTGTAGGGGTTTTCCTATCCACTTATGTATAGGCTAGATTTTCGACAAATGTTTTCGAATTTCCAAGTTCGCATTAGAGTAGTTTTTACGTGGGCCAGGACCTCGACCTTTAAGGTAGGGTTTGACGTCGATAACAACTCAAACTTTCACATGTTATGTCACTACAATTTTATAGGGTTTAGGGCACCAGAGACTTGGCTCGTCGATTATGCGTCAATCTGTTTGTCAATTCGGAACTCTGCGAAACAAATATCTCGAGAACCTTGCGTCAAAGGCAGTATAGTACAAAGCCCTAGAAGGTCAAAGAAACCGAAAACGCTTTACAAGGAGGAAAGAAATCTTGAAAAACACTGCATGCATCAGACTATTGTACAGAGCTATTGCAAACTCGAAATTGCACTCCCCACCTGAATCACTCATTCCCTCCCGCAATCGCCTTCCGCCGTCCCCCTTTTGAGGGCTGGGGAAAATTGAGCATCCCACCCCAATACGCGCACAGACTCTGTGCTGCCAGAGAGCACTCGCACCAGTACACGATCACCCGCGAAACCACCTTGGCCATTTCGACAGCTTCCGAGTCATTTTCGTCAGCATCCAGGATGTTGAGGATCACCTTGGGGAGTTTCCCTTCCCACCCAGCCTTATCGTGCGTATGGTCCTTGACCATTTTTAGAGCCCAGACTCCGACCTGGGCAGTATTGGCTGCTCGACTCGCAAGTTGACGCTCGTTGAGCGTGCCACGTGCCACCTCCACTGCACCCTCCCCCCAGTCTTGGTGGGGAATGCCGATCGAAGCACACCACAGGGTGTAGAGGGCTGCAGCCACTCCCACTGCATAGACCGCGGAGGAGACATTCAAGGGGGGGGACACCACCCCAACCTCTCCATGCACCAAGGCTTGTTCAATCCCCGTGCAAAAAGCCACCTCGAAATGCGCGCCGTCTTTCACCCGTGCATATGATTTGTTCATGACGTTGTCGAAACTGCCAAGGAGGGGGTAGGTTCGAGGTTACTGGAGAGCATATTGAAAATGTATTCCCACCAGCAGAGTCAACTCGATACTCACTTCTCGTATTTTTCCAGGTTCAATTCGTTCATAACACTCCAGACTCCTGTCGGGAGCTCACGAGCAAATTCGAGGTGGACCGTCCACGATCCAATGTCCTCGGGATCCAGGCCGTAATGCACCATGTCAGTGTTGGGGTAATAGGCCATCCAACAGATGGCCACGGTGAAGTCGCGAAGTTTTTTCTCCTTGTAGCTCCCCATGTTCCTCTTCACCCCTCCGACGGTTTGCTCCGAGTTGTAACGACGGCTCACCACTACCCCATCCTTGTCCTTCTTTTTGCGCGTAGTAAGACGAGACGATCTGAAGTGCTTACTTTCCCCCCATTGCTTCCCCAGCTCGTCTGGTAGCGAGACCTTCCTTGGCTGTGCAACCTCTCCCATAGCCTCTCCCAACATCGGTTGAACGTTCTGATTCCCGGACACATTTCCCCACTCCATGTCTTCTGACGCAACTGCCCCAAAAGACCCCTGATTTGCGTCAAAGTTCGTCCCCGTCTGCTCCGTGCGAGGCCTTTTCAAGGGCGGCTGCGTCTCTGATTCACCGTGGCCCGGCAAATGCAATGGATCCTCACCATCCACCTCCAGATCCACAACTTCCAGTTGATTTTCGAGGACCGGCAAAACCACGCGAAGAATCTCGGACCACCCACCTTCATCCGCCTCTCCTACCTGCCCATGCACTACCGCCCCCTCCACATCATGCCCTTGCTTTGCTCTCCCCTCCACATCTGGCCCTTGCCCTTCTGCCCCCTCCACGTCCTCCGCCGCAATCCTTTGCCTCTCCATCTCTATTTTCTCCTGCTCTGCCTCCAACTCTTTTTGTTGCCTCTCCTCCTCATGCTGCGGAGATAGGGATGTCCGGAGAGTCTGCTTTGAGCTGCGTTCGCGAAATCCATGGTGTGGACTCACCCCTGGCAGCGGGTGGCATTTCGACCCTGATAGGTCCAGTCGGCCCTTTGAGCTTTGCTGCCAATCCTGCCAGGGCCTACTGAAGGGCCGTGAAAGTCAGCTGGTTTTTGTCGTCCGCAGTTCTTAGATCCTCCCACAGCGTATATCCACTATTATCGAAAACCTTTGCTAGGGCTGTCAGGGACTCGGACGCCATGATGGCTTCCAGCTTCCCCCCTTTTGACGCTTCCTCTATCGCCTGCTCCACCACACCTTTCAGATTCTCCCCAATCCTGTCAATAAACCCCGCAAACTTATCCTCCAATGCTCCAACAACCGCTGCAGCAGCTGCTCGACCTGCATCAGCTGCTGCCGCTCGTGCCGCGGCTGCTACCGTCGAAAGAGCAGTACGCAATTGGCCAAGCTCTGCCTGCTCCAGGAGCACTGACTCCTTTTGCCTTGCGTACTCGCTCGTTAGCTCGGCAATATCGGCAACGTACCGAGCATCCCTTTCTGCAAATTCCTGCCCCACCTGTCGAATTTCGCTGAAGCACTGTGTGAGGCGTACATTCTGGTCCGCCAACATCCTCGCAACCGACTGCGCCATCAATATGACGCGCCGCAGTAGCTCAGTCATGGGTTGCACACGCCCAGTACATGCGATGTGTTCACCAACCTCTTCAAATCCCCCCTCCGTCTCCTCGAAAATCACAGGACCTGCGTTGGCCTCCTCCCGCAACCGCGCCTCAGTCTCCACCCATTCAGTGTCCTCCACTTCCTCCGCCTGACCCCCGGCTTGTTGCTCCGCCACACGGTGTGGTCGTCCCTGCAATGCGGGCCCCCCGAGCACACTACCTGCACTCTCCCTTTCATTAAAAAGGTCAATATTTCTCGGATTTAACCCTTGTTGCCCTCGCACCCCTTGTCCCCGTCCTCCTGCCTGCTGCCGGTGATCCTCCCTATATCATGCTCCCTCTTCTCCACGCCCCCCCCCGCCTGCCTCCGCCGATCCTTCCTGTGTCGAAACACCTCCGTATCCGGTCCCACACCACGCCACCTCTGCTCCTCCACCTCTCTTTCACCCTGTCTCCTTCGATACACTTCAACCTCACATCGTCCAGCATGCGTTTCCCGCTCGGTCCTCTTGCGGTCGTCCTCGCCAACCCAAATTCGAGTTGCTTGATCCTCACGCCGACCCCCTTGCCGATGCAGCCCAATGGGGGCCTCGGGCCACTGGTCCCCAACCCCGCTAAACCCACCTCCTCTGATCGACGATCAGTCGGCCTTTGCTGACCCTCTATTGGCCGGGCAGCACCCACCACCGGTTGGGCTTCAGCTACGGCCCGCCCCAACTGCGTCTGCTGCACTCTCGCGCCCCTCTGGCCCTCACTCGTGTGAAGAGTTCCATCCCCACGGCGCTGCCCTCCAGCAACTAGTGCAACACCCAACCCAGCAACCTCTCTCTACCTCTCGAGCCTCTCCGTTTCGCACCCCATTCCACGCTACTCATGCTCCTCCCGTCCATCCCTTTGAAGCAACCAGTTTGTTTCGCCCTTCGCTGCCCTCGCCACCCCTTGCAACCGCCGCTCGTTTTCGACCCGTACCCTTTCAGCTTCCTCCCTCTGCCGTGACATATCTTTTTCCCGCTCGAGCCTTTGCAGCTCCCCCCTTCGACATTCGCTCTCTGCCCTCTTGTGATCCCGTTCCTGCCTCTTCCTTGCCTCCTCCTTTTTGTGCGCCTCCTTCATTTCGGCCTGGAGCCTCTTCTGCTCCCGTTCCTCCTCTTCCTCCCTCTGCCACTTCTCCATTTCGCGCTCCACCCGCTTTTGTTTCTCGAGCCTCTCCTTTTCCTCCCTCTGCCTTTTCTCCTCCTTTTCACGCTCCACCCACCTATCCTCCTCCCTCTTCTTCTCTTCCTCCTCCCTCTGCTGCTTCTCCTCCATTTCGCGCTCCACTCGTTTTTGTTCCTCTAGCCTCTCCTTTTCCTCCATCTGCCGATTCTCCTCTTTTCGCTCTCCACCCGCCTATCCTCCTCCCTCTGCCGCTTCTCCTCCATTCCGCGCTCCACCCGCTTTTGTTCCTCAAGCCTTTTCTTTTTCTCCCTCTGCCGATTCTCCTCCTTTTCGCGCTCCACCCGCCTATCCTCCTCCCTCTTCCTCTCTTCCTCCTCCCCCTGCCGCTTCTCCATTTCGCGCTCCACCCGCTTTTGTTCCTCTAGCCTCTCCTTTTCCTCCATCTGCCGATTCTCATCCTTTTCGCGCTCCACCCGCCTATCCTCCTCCCTCTTCCTCTCTTCCTCCTCCCTCTGCCGCTTCTCCATTTCTCGCTCCACCCGCTTTTGTTCCTCTAGCCTCTCCTTTTCCTCCATCTGCCGATTCTCCTCTTTTTCGCGCTCCACCCGCCTATCCTCCTCCCTCTTCCTCTCTTCCTCCTCCCTCTGCCGCTTCTCCTCCATTTCGCGCTCCACCCGCTTTTGTTCCTCGAGCCTCTCCTTTTCCTCCATCTGCCGATTCTCCTCCTTTTCGCGCTCCACCCGCCTATCCTCCTCCCTCTTCCTCTCTTCCTCCTCCCTCTGCCGCTTCTCCTCCATTTCGCGCTCCACCCGCTTTTGTTCCTCTAGCCTCTCCTTTTCCTCCATCTGCCGATTCTCCTCCTTTTCGCGCTCCACCCGCCTATCCTCCTCCCTCTTCCTCTCTTCCTCCTCCCTCTGCCGCTTCTCCTCCATTTCGCGCTCCACCCGCTTTTGTTCCTCTAGCCTCTCCTTTTCCTCCATCTGCCGATTCTCCTCCTTTTCGCGCTCCACCCGCCTATCCTCCTCCCTCTTCCTCTCTTCCTCCTCCCTCTGCCGCTTCTCCTCCATTTCGCGCTCCACCCGCTTTTGTTCCTCTAGCCTCTCCTTTTCCTCCATCTGCCGATTCTCCTCTTTTTCGCGCTCCACCCGCCTATCCTCCTCCCTCTTCCTCTCTTCCTCCTCCCTCTGCCGCTTCTCCTCCATTTCGCGCTCCACGCGCTTTTGTTCCTCGAGCCTCTCCATTTTCTCCCTCTGCCGATTCTCCTCCTTTTCGCGCTCCACCCGCCCATCCTCCTCCCTCTTCCTCTCTTCCTCCTCCCTCGTCAAGCAAATCTGCCCGTGGGGTCATGTGACTTGTGCAACCTGAATCTATCACCCTGTGAGTAAGGGGGTGCATCACAACCTTCCCAACTGAGCCCACATCACCTTCACTCCCTTTCACATCCTCAACCATGAGGAACATCCCAGGGTTGGCTTTACCTTGTGCACCATCACCTTGTGCACCTGAACCTTGCACAGCGCCACCTCGTGCACGTTCACCACTTGGCGGCTTTATGCCTGGAGGCGCCCATCCCTCAGGTCGGCTGAAACACTTGAACCACGGGTGTCCAGCCTTCTTGCAGTACCAACACGCACCCTCCATTCGGGTCCTCCCCCTGCCACCAGAGCTCCCATGCCCCTCATTGTAGTCACCTCGGCCTCTCCCTCTGCCAAAGCCTCTCCCACGGCCTCGGCCTCTCCCTCCCCCTCTTCCTCTGCTGCCTCCTGCAGCTCCATACCCCTCAGCAGTTTTGTTGGCAGCACCACCACCTGTGTGGCGCCTGCGGAAGTCCTCCTGTAGTATCTGCTGCCGTAGCCACTCAGGTGTCCACTGGTCCTGCTGAGTGTTGCGGGTGGGGATGAGGTTGTCCCATGAGTTGTCGAGCACCGAGATGATCTTGGTGCACTACTGCATCTGCGACACATTGCTGCCCGCTGCTGCCATCCTCGCATAGGTGTCCTTGATCTTGTCAAGGACCGGCTACACATCATCGCCCGGTCCCATGGAGAGGGCAGCCAGCTCCTTCTCCAACACAATCACCATCAGGAGCGTGTTGGGCTGAATCACGTCGCGCAGTAGCTTCCACGCCTTTGGTCCGGAATCATCCAACTCCACCAAATCCTTGATGTGTTGGAACATATCGTTGTTGACCGATTTAAGGATTAGGTCGTACAGCACCGCACTCTTCTCAATCCACCGATCGCGGGCATCTCCTTCCTCCGGCATCTTCTCTTCACCCATCGCAAGTTTCAGCAGCTTGTAGCGCTTGAATGCACTCTGCATCCACCCGCTCCATTCCTCATAGTTTGAGCCATCCAATGCCTCGATCTTGGATGGTGTCGGCTCATTTCTCTTCTCAGCTGCATCTCCACTCCCTTGACTCATTTCCTCTGCTCCCAAACACAGGTTCCAGCTCCCCTTTTGCTGTCCACACCGAAGTCCCACTCAATTTCCACAAGTGTTGGTGCCAACGAAATTTCGGCAGAGTTTCCCCTTAGCGGAAGTCACATGCAACCTCCACAACTCCACTAAGGCACGCCCACAGTCCATGGTGGGTCTAGGAGGGTCTTCACACTTCACTAGACTCTCCACAAAGTCCTTAATCAGCTCTGATACCACTTGTTAGAGACTAAGGACGGAGTCTATGAAGATTAAGGGCCGAAATATCTTAAAATCGTCAACTATAATTCTGGACAGAAAAGTCGTCGTCACAAGAAACGTCGTCGACGGAAGGTCCACTGTTAGAATTGTCTCAAACTGGATTATGTTGTAGCCCTTGACCGTGGCTATCGTTCCCAATTTGAATAATATAAAAATATGGATTCTAGCTCGAGTTATGAATTTCGGCGCACTAGGGGGTATGCTGCCATAGAAACTTAACTCAATCACAAAGTTGTCTCACAAGTTCACACAAGAAAGTTGGAGTAGCAAATTGAACCAGGTAGGAGGGGATGAAGAGGACGAGAGGGAAGGTCCCAAGGGAGTCCTCAACCAAGGAAACCCCATACCACACAATTCCCCTCTCTATAGGCACCCCAACTTTGACATTTGTCACTTTCCCAACTCATGCCATCCACCTCACCCAACTTGGCCACACTTGCCAACCTGGTTTGGCTTCTCCCAACCACTTGGCATCATCTACAGTGATGGTGACGAATTTCCCAACCCCCAAAAGTCTGTACCCCATATTGAGTCAACCCGCAAATTCCCATAGTCGCCGCATCTCAATCAAAACTTCGAACGATCATATCTTTCTCGTTCTTGCTCCGATCAAGGCGATTCTCAGTTCGTCAGGAAGCTCTTGAGCAGAGGAGTCACTTCAGATATCAAGCCAAATAACATTCACATACACTCAGAAAATCCAAACAACACCAAACACAAATTCTTGCACACGCTCACACCACGCATGCAACACACGAACATATGATGGGAGGCAGACAGACGTGAATGCAAATGATAGCATCACATAACATGTGGAACACAGGCAGGACGAAGTGCCAGGGACAGGAGGGGGACACGGATGAGCAACACGACGACCATTGCGAACAGCGCGAATAGGCGAGGCAAGACGAGACACAGGCTCACGACGCTCTGTAAGACCTCCGGTCTGCTCAGTGTAAGGAGAAGGAGCAGGTAGTGGGGAGGCTGGCTGTAGCAGCGGCTGCGACTGGTCAGGTGGTGGACACAATAAGGGAGGAGTAAGGCCAGTAGAAGACAGGAGACCAAGAAACTACTGAAGCAGGGGAACGAAGTACGGTCGCGGTCGTCCAGTGTCTCCATAACCAGCACCAGAAGCACCAGCACCCCACGAACCAGTGCCTCCAGCTCCGATGTCTCCAGCTCCAACGCCTGCAGCACCACCAGCTCCAGCAGCTCCACGACCTCCATCATCTCCAGTGCTAGTGCCTCCAGCTCCAACTCTTGCAGCACCACCAGCTCTTGCAGCACCAACAGCTCCAGCAGCTCCAGTACCTCGAGTACGAGCACCTCTTGGATCAGCGGCTCGAGTACCTCCAGCAGCTCCAGCTCCAGTGCCTCCATCTCCAACTCCTGCAGCACCTCCAGCTCCAGTGCCTCCAGTGGCAGAGTCTCCAGCTCCGGCAGCTCCACTCCAAAGGCGTGTGAGCCGCACAAACCACTCGCGCAGCTGCTGCGGGGAGAGAGGCTCCAGCCGGGGAGACAGTCGTGGTGAGGAACCTACAGGACCTCCAGAAGAAGCATTACCCCTAGGCTCAGCACCCCCAGGCTCCGCACCCCTAGGCTCAGCACACCCAGACCCCGCACCCTCAGACTCAGCACCCCTAGGCTCTGCACCCGCAGGCTCAGCACCCCCAGACGCAGCACCCCCAGACGCAGGACCTCTAGCGGCACCAGAGTCGACAGCAACCTCAACAGGCATAATAGCAGGGAGTGGGTCTACCTGAGACACACCTGAGGGAGCAGGACCCTGAGGGGGGAGGGGGTCTACCAGAGGGGGACCTGGAGCATGGAAGAGCGGCGAGGGTGGGAGAGGGGCAGAGCGAAAGGGGAAGAGATGGTAAAAGGGAACCAACTCGTGATGTCCTGAGAGGGGAGGACACAGCGCGAAGTGGGGTGGTAAAACTGCCAGCCAGGTGCGTCAGGGGGAAAGCCAAGGAAGACGCCGTGAATAGCGCGGGAGGAGAGCTTGTCCGCGGATGTATCGTGAACAAAGGCACAAAAACCCTAGACCCGGAACACCGACGCATCGCCAACCTTCCCCATCCAACGCAGTGTAGGCGAGGTCTCCGGCAAGGAGAAACGGGGCCAGAGCTTGAGCTGATGCGCAGCGTACCGAACCGCAAATGGCCACAAAAAATGGGGGGCAGCCGCATGGATCATGGAGGTACGAGCGACCTCCACGATTAAGCCAATGTGGCGCTCAGCAATCCCATTTTTCTGCGAGGAGGCCGGAAGTGTGAACGATTGGAGAATGCCCTCCCCACGACAAAAGTCCTGCAAGAGGTCGGAGGAGAACTCACCACCTCTGTTAGAGTGCAGACGCAGGACTGGAAGGTCCTCGCAGAACCGCTCGCGGAGCTGGAGATGGACTGTACGGATCCCAGGGATCAAGACATCAGGGACTTCACCGTTGCTGCACAAGGGGAAGACCGTGGTGTAACGCGTGTAGTCGTCAACAACCAGCAGAAAGTAGCGCTCGCGGCCCTGTCCACTGAACGCGGGTTGGGCCCCACACGTCCATGTGGAGAGTCTGCAGGGGAGCAGTTGTCGGGGGAAACAAGGAGTGAGGAGCGGCGCGCTGCCGCCCTTCGACGCAGGGAAGGCAGGGCGGGGCAGGCGAGGGCGGGAGAGGAGGCAGAGACCTGGGAAGACCAGAGATAAGGAGGCGGGTGTGCATGCCACAAAGGCGTGGCAGGGAGGGGTGACCAAGGCGGTGGTGCCACAGGAGAGTCTGGTGCGACAGGAGGCGACACGAGCAGGGGGGTGCTATCGGACCTGACGCAGACACCTGGGCAGACGCAGCTACCAGAGGACGCTCGGTAGCCAGGGTGTACAGACTCGGTTCTGAGTGTGAGGCTTCCCGCATGTCTGACCAGCAAAGTCACCCGTGCGAATGACATACGAGCAGCTAACTCTACCCCCAGACGCCCCACGCTGAGAAAACCACTCACGAAGCTGCTGAGGCGAAGGGGTCTTGCTCCAACGCTACTGCTGCTGCCGCTGGCCACCGCCAGAACCTCCCCTCTGAACAACTCCACCCCGACTGCCACCACTCCCACTGCCTCCACTACCGCCACTCCCACTGCTGCCACCACCTCCGCCACCAAAGCTTCCACTCCCGCCACCACTCCAACCGCTGCCACCACCTCTACTACCTCCTCCACCTCCACTGCCGCCCCCACTACCACCCCCTCTGCCACCTCCACCACTCTTGCCACCCTTGCCCTTGATGCTGCGGCGCTTCCCACTAGGAGAAGCAGCCCCGACATCCTCAGCACCAAGGACGTCAACAGCAGCAACAGAGGCGTAGGAGGGGGCAAGGGGGGAAGGGGAACACCCCTCAAAGAAGGGCGTGCGAGGAGTGCCACGAGCGGCACCTACAACAACTACACTAGTCTCAGGTGCAAGGAGGTGCTGCTCGAGCAGGTCAACAATGAGGTATGTGGTGTCAAGTGCGAGAAAGTGGTCCCTGATTGCGCGAAGAGAGTCAGGGAGGCGGGTG